AGCTCGGTGGTCTAAACCCGCCTGCCTCTCCTGGGAAGAAGGAGGAGGCTGTCTGTTCTGTACAGACTCAGTCTCCACAGCCCTGAGCTGGAGTCTGGGATGGAGGCAGGTGTTGTTGGTTCGCATGCAGATGGAGAGGACTCTGCCCCTTGGGGCCCCCAGGACCCCAAGCATCCTGGCCAGTGCCCTGAAGGGGCAGTTTGGGGTGGGTCCACATCAACTTCACTAGGTGGCAGGGGACTCAGTTCAGGGGTCAATGAAAGGGACAAGGGGGGTGGGGGTGGTCCATGAGAGCGGACGCTGTCAGGTCTGGCCACTGCCCAAGCCTGGGAGACATGCCCCTCCCAGACCTCACAGTTGGTCCTAGAGGCAGGCTGGCCTGGGTTTAAAACCTGCCCTGCTTGGTGCAAGTGACTCCACCCCTGGGAGCACAGAGGGCGAGGGCAGTCTCCAACAAGTGGGCTGTGAGGCAGGGGGTGTGTGGGGGTGGGGTGTATGTGTGTGTTTTCTGGAGCGTGCACGGAGACCCTGGTTGTGAGGCAGAGGGGTGTTTGTGTGTGTTCTGGAGTGTGCACGGAGACCCTGGTTGTGAGGCAGAGGGGTGGGTGTGTGGGTGTGTGTGTGTGTGTGGTCTGGAGTGTGCACGGAGACCCTGGGTTGAAAAGTGGCTGGTCTTAGAGCCTGTAGCCCTCCGGCGCCCCGATGCTAGCCTGGGTACCGCCCCCAGCCCTCTAAACACACACACACACACACACACACACACACACACACACACGACTGAGCCACAGGAGTCAGGAGGCCGGGACCCCATGCTGGGGGGCAGAGGGGCGTTCTTCCTACCCCTCCGTTACACTAGATGCTGGAACTGAGGCCCAGAGAGGCTGAAGGACATGCCTGAAGTCACACAGCAAGTTAAAGGAGGCAGTCAAGAGTTCGAATCGTGGCCCTACTGGGCTTGGCTGGACCTTCGATCTTTAGGCCCTTTTGAGCAGGTCCCTGCCTGTCC